TTCTTCCGGGCGCGCTGGCGCCAAAGCGTTGGCACCTGTAGCGCGACTCACAGCGCTCTTCGCGCAAAACAGGTATCATATTCGTGTTCAGGGGTCAAATAACCCCTAGGACGTCACCTTAGCAAAATCTGAGCTTCTGACTCAACTTCGAAAAAATGGGGTATGGATAGTCATGGCTGACTGATAGCTAACAGCGATACTATGACTAGCATACTGGTGATGACTGGTCTTCGAACTGAAATAACTCTTCAGTCATGTCTTTTCGCAAACAACAGTACCTGGCTTACTTATTTGTGCCGTCTGCATCATTTTCTTGACTATCGGGAGGAAATCCCATTCCGAGACCAGTCATCGATGGTAGGTGAGCTCCAATCTGCTGCTAATTACCCATGGAATAGCCCACATTTTCCAAGTGAGGTCGAAAATCAGATTCGGCTAGAATTTCGGCAAGATTCGGTTAGGCTTGACCACAAGGGTAATTTAACCCGCTGAACATGAATATGATGGTATTTCATTGCAAAAACCCTTGTGACACGTGTTACGAGGGGTACAAGCAGAAGCACTCTTTCAGGCCACAATGGGTCTACACTTTCAAAAAAAACTGATCGCAGGTTCCCTTATAGGGTAGTGCAGGCGAGCAGAGATGTTAGAAGCTTTGTCGGCTATGTTCTTGGACAAATGCAAAAAAGGACCTGCCCCGGAACCGATCCTACGACGTCTCGCCTAAGAAACCCGCTCCCTACCCGTTGCGCTCTGCTACCACGTTTCAGAACGACTCCATACATAAATGTAAAGACGCTTCCACGTTTCCTCGCGATAGCATGTGAAACGACCATGCGGGATAAAACCCTCCATAACTCCGTTCAGAGAATCGTTCTGCAAATTTTGAAGACAGTTCTGAGTTCACCGTCCCAAGACGCGTACAACGGTGTGCAGCTCATTGGAAATGGCCGGGCTGACCTGATGACCTTTCCTGGTCAGTCCTTCAGTCGACTCCACACCTTCGAAAGGAGCTGCTCCTCTGGGCTCTATAAGGGCATATCTTCATCATTATTTGTGAGATTTGCAAGATCAATTCAGGTGTACCTGATATGATTTGTGAAAAATCAAGAGTCCAAGGGCTGGGTGATGAAACTGTTAAGATCATGTTTTTGTTGAAGAAAATATGAAGTACGGATGAGGTGTGATGGCCTGAAGCTTTGAGTTGTTTCAGATGTGGGCATAACAAGGCGTCTTACTCGACGATGCAAACGAGATCAGCAGATGAGGGCCAAACAGTGTTTTATACGTGTTTGAAGTGCAAGAGGAAAGATATAGAGTACTCTTAGAGATGTTTTTGTACAGAGAAGTTGTATATACGTTGAACTGCGTTGTTATTTGTTATAGCTCTATCAGATATTCACAAATGAAGTTTGTTACCGGTATTTCGTTTTCCCCACTCATTCCCAAGTTCTCGATCTTGCCAATGGTATCTATAATGGTTTCCTCGTGATGTTTGACGTTCATTTTCATTTTCGTTCGCACAGCTTCATTGTATTCCTATGTAGTTAGGGTGCAACAATGTCTCGCGGAAGCAGTGCGGGTTTCGATCGTCATATTACCATCTTTTCACCAGAAGGGCGTGTGTATCAGGTTGGGGTTTCTTTTTCATTCATTTTTCAAATCAATATTTCCAGAAACATTTATTTTCCTTCATTCTTTGCTTTCAGAGTAAGTTTTATTCGAGCCAACTAATCTTGTTTTGAATTGAAGTGATCTCCTATATTTCAGGTTGAGTATGCGTTTAAAGCCATCAATTCGACTAATCTGACGGCAGTGGCTGTCAAGGTGCTAAATCTATGTTTTCATTGATCTCTCATTATCCTCTTTGAGCCAATGACGGAATTTCTAGAAATGAAATCGTACTTTCAGGGTGTTGATACAGCAGTGATTGCCGTACAGAAGCGTGTTCCTGATAGCCTTATAGTAGCTGACTCGGTCACTTCAATTTACCAATTATCGCCAACTGTTGGATGTTGTGCTATTGGAATGATACCGACGGGGACACTGCAAGTTCCAGGTGATTGTGTTTCGAATACAGTTGGTGACGGTAGTAGTTTGGTAGTTACTTGAGGTTGAGGGGTAGGGAGGGCGGCGTCTCGGTCACTCAGCCCTCTAATATTTCGTTACCTCTACTACAAGACATACGACGAGGTCAGTGAAGACTGTCTCTCTGTGAGCCATCTTCTCGATGACTCTAGTCGTTTAAGCTCTAAGTTGAAGCCATTTTGGGGAAGGAATACAGAGGCGCGGTCGTGTGGTTCCCCCATTCCAATTTGCCTTCTTTGGAAACAGCAGGCCTTTATATTTTTTGAATTTCGCTGGTCCAGACATCATTATTTAGGTTCGTCCGCGCTCGTCAGATTGAAGCTTTCAGGCAGTGGAAGTATGCTGAGCGGTTTACGATAAATATGCACTGTGAGCTTCTTGCAAAGTAAAATGGCCAAGATAAAAATCAGTACTACACACAGAATGCTGAAATGAGAAGTCTTGGATGCGGTTCGTTTTCACTTCAGCTAAAGTTTTGTAACAAGCGTTTTGAGGAATCAGAGGAGTGATAATCCTCATTTTAGCAATGATTATGATCTCATTTGATGATGAAGATGGTGCTGTCGTATTCAAAGTTGATCCAGCTGGATACTATCGTGGGATGAAGGCTGTATCGGTGGGAGTGAAGCAGGTGAGCGAAATTTCTAACTCTCATAAATAGAAAAACTAGGCTCATTTATTGCACTTGCACGAAAAAGTTTTCTTGGCGTGCTGGATTCCCAAATGTTACAATTCTCAGGCGAAGAGGGGGGGGATAAGTTCATGCTGGTCTAAATTGAGCGGCTAGTATATGTGGGCGGGGGCGGAGTGAGGTCGAGGAAGACTAGGCGACGACGATTCTCCCCTCGCCTGCGTCCTCACCGTTTTCAGTGAGGCGTTACCAAGCACTATTTTTGCAGCAGTGAGCAGACTAGCAGAAATGAGGCGTGGTCTTGTTTAGTCGAATGCCCCGCTCTCACTCAACTGCGCTAGCACCCTCCCTTGTCTTCTGTCCTGAGACCACCGCCCCATAAGCCTACTATCTCGATCCTTAAAGTATAAGCATGGGCGAAGGTAGTCAGGGAAGGGAGCAGTATACGGCAGCGCGACTAGGGCCGTTCCAACAAAGAAAATTGCTCGCCCCCGCCTTCCAGATCAACCACTCTCCCCTATGGTTTTTATAATCAAAGTTAGTCATAAATTTCTCTCGTGAGAATACTGTTCTTACGTTCTCTACTTTTTTTTCCGGAATATCGTTTTCAGGTCACCGCCTCGTCTTTCCTCGAAAAGAAGATCAAGAAGAAAGCTGATCTGAACCACGACGAGACGATTCAACTGGCCATCGAAGCTCTTCAGAGCAGTCTTGGAATCGAAACTCGCTCGAAAGATCTCGAAGTCGTAGTGGTTTCGAAGAAAGATCATACCTTCAAGTGGGTTTCGTGTTGAGCTTTGCTTTGACACACCGAGAGCAGTTGTCAGCTGATGGTTGAATATGCAATAGGGTATTGAGACTCGACCGTTCGAGCGATCCGAATTAATGAATCGCTTTGAACAAATACGAGCTTATCCTTCTAATTTTTTTTAATTCAGAAAACTGACGAATGACCAAGTCGATCATCATCTGAACGCGATTGCGAACCGAGACTAATGTGAACCCACTGCTGAAGATTATGTTAACTGGTTTCGTCACACGTGTTAACTGGTGTCGATCGTATACACTACCGTTGCGTATTGATTAATAATGCACTTAATTTCGTATTTATTGCTTGTTCTACCTGTTTTCATCATAGTGTAATTGATAAAAGGATTCTTTATGTTGCCAATCTCATTGTACACCAGCGTCTGTAAAACGCTCAGGATATCTTTCACTCGGTATCTTGAAGACACATAGTATGTGCAGGTTGGCAGAGTGGCATACTGAGGACTCATTATGCAAAAATTTATGCAAAAATGGGATTGCCGTGGATTTGCCGTGGGTTTACGTCGTAAGGAAGGATTTCCAGGATAGTAAGTAAATCGTGTGTGAAAAGGGCCTCTTATAATCGTCATCTCTCTACACAGCTCTACACATGAAATCCCTTGTATGCCCCTTTGACTGACTTGCCTCCAGCGTTACATTGCTAAACAGTAAGGTTAACAGTAAGGTTTAAGGATGTCAGATGATGACTTCGATGAAGAAAAACATGAAAAGCTGCTGGCAAACGTGTTAGGGCGAAAAGAAAAGGTATGTTTTCGCAACTATTACGGTCGCAGGGTATCTCATCAGAGCGTAGAGTGTAACTGGTTTCTAGAACCAATTTGTACTTTGATTTTTGAATTAAGTGCGTTTATTTCATTTATTTTCTAGGCACAAATCAAAAAATCATCAGTCAAGATCAGTAGTGACCTGCTTATAAATTCAGTAAAACAGGCCAAGTGAGTTGATGAGGGTTTTGTTTGCTACCTTTGCCGTGTAATATTGCATTCGTTCAGATTATCAACAACTGTAGCAAAGAAGAAGTTAGATTTGGAAAAGAAAGAAAAGAAACGTGTTGGAGCTAGCGAAACAGTAGCTGTTCCAGTACATCGGCAAGCTAGTGAACGTATCAAAGGAGCTGTTGGATTCATAGAACTCAAGTGCGGAAGAGATGTTATCTTCATGATTTTCTTTGATGGTGGCATTGCCCATATTATTCATCTACTAACCTTATTATCGGAAAGTCAAAGGTTCCTCAGCCCCAACACACCCCATTCCTCACAGTTCACTGGGTCTAAGTTCGGGAACCAAGTCGCAAGAATGTCATTGCAGACGTAGATTGTTTTGCTGACTTATTTTTTATGCTTGATTTGTAGTGGAGAAAGGAAGGAACGTAAAATGGAATCTTACTATGCAGGATTTGCACTTTTCTAAAATCTTCATGCTATTCGAAAGAGCCCTGTAACAGGAAAAGCCGTTTTTTTTTGAAGAAAACATTGTAGTTGTGGTTCAGGAATGATCTGAAGGTCTGGAACGATGTGGTGAAAACTAACCGGTTAGCTGATCAGCTATCGTTTCCATTAGGCGAAGAACGAATGCTATCAACGGAGAAAGCAGCAGACAGAGCCGAAGCTTTCAGAGTAGGTTTCGCTCGCACTTTTTCCTTTTGACCGAGAACAAGTGTATCAAACTTTTCTGTTGTCTTATTACAGCCGAAAACGGACTTTGAGAAGAAGATGATGGAAATGTGGAATGGTTCAAAGAACAACTTGACAAATGATACGGTGTATACAGAAGCTGAATTGGAGATTATACGAGCGATGGATGTGAAAGAGGTACCAGAGTTTTCATCTCCGCTTCAGAAATAGAATCACAAGGGGCGTATCGTCAGCACCATTGTTGTCGATGAGTACTGCCACAATTGTTGCGCGCATATTTCTCCTAGTCATTCGTATACCTTTTAGTATAACCTTTCGCCAACTTTTTCAAATCTTAAAAATCAAGATCTAATGGCTATAGGAGGCTGAGTGGGCTTTGTTAAAAAGTATTCAGTAATAGCATCTGAAAGAGGTCGCTATGAATCCGGTTCAATTGATAACACATCGTAGGACGCAGTAATGCTAACCGGCGTCCGTAGCAGGATTATCAAGACCTCGGTAGCAGGCTCCGTTCTGAAGAACCATTTGCCTCAATAGTGTTACTCCAGCGCTTATCCTGCAGTGTGATAATGACTAGTTTTGACAGGGCTGAGTCTAGAGTATTTTGTAACTAAGCGAGAATTTCAGGCAAAGGAAAAATTGAATCAAATGCAAAAGATGCGTGCTCTTATTAGCTATCGAGAAGCGAAGTATCGGTATGCGGCCAAGATCAAGTCCAAGCGGTAAGTGTGTCATCATTGAATCTTTATGCTATACCCTGGGTTTGGGCGTACCATCCGGGTTTCTTCGAAATCCAATTGACAGTCTGGCCCTTAAACCTTCCCAAAAATTTTGTTCCCTCCCGGGCTTCAAGTATTTGAAACTTAGAACTCAAGTGTACGATTTTGTTATCACAAGAATGCTGAGTTGTGGGCAAAAGTCGTGCCCCAGGCGGGAGTCGAACCCGCACCTCACGCTTTCCGGGCGAGTGCGCTATCCGTTACGCCACCAGGGCCGCTTTTACCCTCTCAGCTTAACGGCTTATGCCGTAACCTTACAGCACTCACAACCTTACATTACAGAACGCGTACTGCGGCGTTAGACAGCAGTTATCATAAAACACTTCGGTTTTGTGTTTGTGTTAGTTGACAGTTGACTTCCTTTTCAGATTGCAACTGTCGAGTTTTCTTTCAGTTATCATCGCATCCTCAAACGTCAGAAACGAAAACAGCTAATCAAGGAGTTTGACGACCTGCTAGTTCGGGATCCGGAGGCTGCCAAGGAAAAACTGCAAGAACTTGAAAATCAGAGGATTATCGTACGTTTTTAAAAATGGCCTACTTACGGTATTGACCTTGGATTTGCTATCAGTTTGCTTTCGCAAATGTGCTGGTCACATATCACTGAAATTGATTTTGAAGGAACGCGGTTCTCTCAAGCATCGTGCTCGGACAAAGTTCCAACAGGACATAGTGAAATATGCTGGTCGGGATGCTCGCGCCAAACAGGTGTTGGAGGAGCACCTCAGGTAACTGACCAATGTTATATCCAAGTGACAAGTTTTTTTTGTGATATCATCTATGGGCACCGATATATCTGGTTTAAGAATTGGACGTGAACTTAAATCCAAAATTTCGATGGAATCTGAAAGCGAGGGTGAAGAAGGAGAAGAAGAGAAAAGCGGATCTAAAATGAGTGTCTCTGAAATGATCAAGGTAATCGGCTGGTTTAGGTCTCTTTTGGTCGCCTTTCAGAAGCTTCTGATTAAGTTCACTTCCAGAGCGCAGCACTGGCTGCAGCGAAAGGAGATGGAGGCGAAGGTACGTCTGATTCCGTTATGGATGCGAAAGAGGCTCAAACCGCGTTGTTCGAATTAAGAGCAAAGAAACGGCGTCAATTAGAGGCGCGAAGGACTCGAGCACGGTGGAAAAGGTTAGTTTTTGTTGGATTTTGTGTTAGGCGCTCTTCAATTAGGCAATTAGGCAGCGTTCATACTTCGTAGCGGCTACAAAGCGTCGCGCTACAGCGTGGCGCTACGCTGCGTCGCCTAACTGCTGTCGGCGCTACGAGCGTCGCGCTAGCAGTGACGCTCTACAGCGTCGCGCTACAGCGTCGCGCTACAGCGTAGCGCTACAGCACCGCTTCGCAACGTACTGCAATTTCCAACGTTAGGATGATTAGAGTTGCTTATAGAGAAAAGTGGGAAGGTTGCTGGAGTTTTCTTGAGAAATTCACGGAAAGGTGATACAGCTGTAACTATTAGGTTGGCTAATAAGTACAGGCGGTTTCTTTCAATTGAAAAATTTGTTCGAAAAGTGAAACGTTTTGCAAGCAAGTTATATATCATCTGATAGGAAACTTCTCGTAGTATAAGAATATCAAAAAAGCTTTGGTTGAGGATATAGTTTTTGTGAATTTTTTAGTCGTTGAAGTTGGAAGTGAAGTCGGCGAAAATTAGCATCTTCGACAACTGCCTCTATTTAGAAATTTCATGCTAATAGTTGAATTAATTGAATATGAATTTGATATTCTAATACTACGAGAAATTTGCTATTAAACGATATTAAGCTTGCTTGCAAAACTTTTCACTTTTGGAACAAATTTTTCAATTGAAAAAACCGCCATTACTTATTAGCCAGCCCACTAGCAGTTATTAGCCAGCCCACTAGCAGTGGGCTGGCTAATAAGTAATGGCCGTTTTTTTCAATCGAAAAATTTGTTTTAAAAGTGAAAAGTTTTGCAAGCAAGCTTAATATCGTTTAATAGCAAATTTCTCGTAGTATTAGAACATCAAATTCATATTCAATTAATTCAACTATTAGCATGAAATTTCAGGTGGAACAGACGTGAGCCTGCCCAATATTGGCAAGGTGAAGGTTGCCAACTTTGAAATTCCTTGAAATTAGTTCCAAAGCGTCGCTATTGAGATTTTCCTTTAGACTTCTACCTCAACCTTTTCCGAATGTATGGAGCAGCTTAAGCGATTTTAGCACTTCGAGTAGACGTAAATAGAGGCAGTTGTCGAAGATGCTAATTTTCGCCGACTTCACTTCCAACTTCAACGACTAAAAAATTCACCGGTTGTCAGCACAAAAACTATATCCTCAACCAAAGCTTTTTTGATATTCTTATACTACGAGAAGTTTCCTATCAGATGATATATAACTTGCTTGCAAAACGTTTCACTTTTCGAACAAATTTTTCAATTGAAAAAACCGCCATTACTTATTAGCCAACCTAATGTTCTGAGCATCCTGTAGACAGTTACTACCATTTTTTTAGTCACTATTTTTTGCTGGTACTGGTGGCTTTTTAGCGTAACAGTGGTCTTCTGTCTATTAAGAGCCATTTTCTGCAAAAGAAAAACGAACCCCAACAAGGAAGGTTTAAAAAACTTCGCGCCACCTAAAAACGACGCATGGCGCATGTTTTTTTGGAGACACAGAACCATTAAAGGAAGCTTCTCTTGTTTGCATTGTGCTAACGCATTGATGATCAGACAGTCTTCGCGTGCCTGTTGTAGGAGATAAGGCCATTTTTTTCTGCTGCCGACAAATGCGACTCAATACTGATACTCTCCTAGGCCAAAAAAAGTACAAGAAACTGTCAAAGGCTTTGTTGGCTGTGAATGCCTCGAAAACCGGCATAAATCTTTTTCCTGTGATCCAGGCAGAGATTGGGGGCAAACTCGAAAAGCAGATTTCGCTCCAGTAACCCCCCCCCCCCGATCGATAGCGGTATAAGAATTCCTGTATTCATTCTTCTTCATATTCATCCTCTTCTTCTTTTGTTTCTCATATTTATCTAATAGTGAGCTCCTGTTTTCTACTTTATCACATTTTAATGTAGTTTCGCAATCGGGATCAAAACGAGGCAGCACTGCAAGGCATCAAAGCAGTCCATCAAACATCAAGCAAACTGTGAAAGCCAAATAATTAAAGTCAAAAAATAGATATAATATAAAGCGCAATTCTCACAAGGTCTTCTGTATCAAAAAGCGTACAGTTCAAAATGTGATAGTAAGAAAACAGAGGCTGCATATCAGACAAATATGAGAAACAAAGAGAAGAGGCATTATATAGAAGAGAAAATAAAAGGCTGGATGTACTGTAGCGCGGACGCTGTAGGCTACGCTGTAGCGGCGACAATCTGTAGGCGGCGACGCAGTAGCGCGCCCGACTGTAAGCGCGCGACGCAGTAGCGCGACGCTGTAGCGCGACGCTGTAGCGCGACGCAGTAGCGCGACGCTGTAGCGCGACGCTGTAGCGCGACGCAGTAGCGCGACGCTGACGGCAGTAAGCAGCGACGTGTAGGCGGACGACTGTTAGGCGGCGACGTTTCTGTAGCGGCGCCATCAGTAGAGGGGCGAACGCAGTAGCGCGAGGGCTGTAGCGGCGATCAGTAGGCCGCGACGCAGTAGCGCGACGCTGTATGCGCGAAACCAGTAGGCGCGACCTGTAGCGCTATAAGTGTCGCAGTTCAACGAGAGACCGCCCTACTAGTCTCTCGCTACGTACGAGCTATCAAATGTAAATGGAATCCCGCTCACCACCATATAGCCCACTCAGTCTGCATCCAGTTTCCCCGGGGCCATATCGCTTTCCCGCACGATATAGTCTCGGTTCCCCGAGGGACCACCCGGGTCTACGCCCGTGACAGACTGAAGAGGACGGCAGCCCATGACCAGGCATATCCTCGTGGGGGGTCCGACCTCCCTCATGTCCGTCCTGGACCCCCAGGTCGGCCGGCCCTCCCACTGTCGCAGCCTGTCGTAACCGGTCTGACAGCATGCCTGTTAACCCCCGTTAACCCCCTACGGCATGCAACAACCAACTACACAAATACCAATAGAAATATGACCAACAATAAATATATACCTTAACCCTAACCTGTACCTTCCCCTTGCCTTACCAGCACCTTACGGGCCCACTTGCGCACGGCTGCGCTCCCGGCAAACCTCCATCTAATTCGCAAACATAACAAAACATATAAACACCATATTTATTAACTCACGTGTTTGCGGAAACCATCTTCCATCTATCCTTACATCCTGCCGTAGCTGGACTGACCATCCATCTTCCATCTGTCCTAGCGGTAAACCTAGCGGTAAAGGGCGCTCTGCGGCTACAAGCTGCAACCCACAGCCATTGGCGGGCGTGCTTCGGGTGCATATGCAAAGGCAACGGGCCTGACGCAGAGCTGCGCCAGACGGAGCAGTGTGCCCCGGACCCAATGCTGTACAGTGTGGCAAGGACCCTGGCAGAACCGTCCGCGCATCGCACTGGGCGGCAGAGCCGGGTGGCCGCGTGGATCTCTCCTCCCAGAGAAGCACACCGACTGGCTCGCAGCAGCCCTTATAAGGGCTCCACTGGGGGCGGGGCGGCGGCGCGGCCTTCGGCGGTCGCGTCGCGGCTTTGCCCGTGTAGCGCGCCAGAGCCCAGGCGCACGGGACCCCGGCCACGTTGTCGCGAACCGCGACAACCAGTATGCACCGGATGCCTTAGCGTTCACGATGCTCGCTGCCACAGGGTGAGCTCTCAACATTGGCAATGTGGGCTGTTGTCTGTTCTTGAAGAGGCATAGTGAGGAGTTCCTCCCGTTTTTCTTTTCCAATGTTCAAAGTTGTGAGTGGATTAAGTCGTTTTTCAGGCAATGTCAGATTCTACACCGTTATTCGAGCAAGACAATAATTGGACCGCTGTCGGAGCTCCAGCGCCATCGACCATTGAGTGCGAAGCTGTTGCTAAACTGAAGAAAACTAAGCGAAAACTGCGTGATCAAGATGAAAAATCCGCTGAGTCAGCTGATGTTGCCGAGGTAGAAACTAATGCGAGTGAATCCGTTGCGAAGAGTTCGGATGTTGAAGGAAAGAAAGGTGAGTTGACGCGCTTTCAGACCAAATGATGAAAAGTAGTGAGACCCTGTTCCCTAGACCCTTGTTTTACAATGCATCTTTGGCTTCTGCTCGAAGTCAAGGGGTCAGAATTGGTTACTTCCTCGATAGCTTGAGCCGCGTTCATAGCTGGCGATTGTGACGAAATCCGGAATTGTCGAATTCGCGAAAAGCATCAGATACGTTTTGATTTGGAGAAATGACGAAATGTAGAAATGCAGAGTTAACGAATAGAACTATATGCGTATCGATTTTCCGCAATCGGTCAATTCTGCGTTTCGCCATTTCTGCATTTTTCGCTTTCGCATGCTATGAACGCGACCTTAGGTAAAGTTCTTGTCAACGTTATTGTTCTCTCATGTCAGATAGGGATAGCGTGAGCACGTATTGGAGTGACAGCAGACATGTCTGGCGCAAATGCGCCGTTGAGAAGCATTATTCCCGTCCGCTTGGTGCATTACAATCGTTTTATGTCGCTGTATTTACTGCGGTACATCTTAATGGTGTCAAGAGTGGATGAATTCCACATGCTTATCGCAAGAAGTCAGAGCTTGGACAGCAACAGTAAGCTGACTCTGCAACAGTAAGCTGAGAGAACGAACTGCGGAATCGTGTTTATGTGGCCTTATTAACATTCAGGTAAGAGAGGCGGACGTAGTGTAGTGACAAGTGACGCGCTCACCATGCGCAGCGACTCGAGGTCATCTCCCGGATCGGCTCTCGCGTACGCCGAACAAGCCATCTCCGGGAACGGGGTACCATATTCGTCTGGGAGTGGATGAGAACACTGACGTGAACAGGGGCTCGTCCCCAAAAGTGATTCTATTGGCCATATCGCATTCAATAAGCCACTATAATTCTGGATGGCACAATGAAATAGGGATTAATAGTCGGTGAATCATTTTTTCTAGTTCTGTTTAGGTAAGAAGAAGAAAAAGCGGGTAAGATTCAATGAAGATTGCGTGCAGAGCGAATGTAGTGCGAAAGACATAGATAAGCTATTTGATGCAGCCGAGGAAAAGATGGTCGAGAGTCTCAAAGAGGTACACATGGAATCGTTTTCCATTTTTGAATGATTCCCACTAAAAATATTCCGTTTCGTCTAGGTTGCGAAGAAAATTCGAGAGGAAGAGCAAGAAGAATCGGCCACACCGAAAGAAGAGAAGAGAAAGAAAAAATCGAGGAAAAACGAGGCAGAGCAAAAGAAAGATGAAGCTGTTGATATTTCTCTATCCTCTATTGTGATTGCAAATCATCATGAGCAGTACCAAATATTCTGCTCAAGTTTATGTTCCCCATAGCCCATCTCAGTGTTACTTGCCAAGTTGGAAATATTCTATCATTAAAGTGTTTCTCAAGGAAAAGAATAACGCATACCAGTGTCACCAATAAATGAGAGGAAATCTACGAGACCTACAAAAACCTTGAACATCGGACATTTAACGTCCATAAAATAACTGTTAGGATGCTGTACAAGTCGTTTCAGCTTATGGCGCTGACGCTCAGTTTCTGGATCGGGGTGCAACAGATCGATAGCCAAAGGCATGATTCGTCCTAGTCGAGCTGGCTTTGCTAAAACAAAACAAAAAACATTACCTTAGTAAGAAAAAGCAAACCTATCACCTGAAGATTGAAATCAAATGCGAACGAAAGGTACCAACTAGCACGGGGACGTAACACAGCAGTGAATGATGAGAATACGAAAAATCAGTGCACTTTGTATGCGGCGTAATATTGCACAACCAACGGCAACACGCAGACAAACGTTTCGAAATCGCGGGAAATGCGAAAAATAACAATAATCAGCAGAAGCCTACTTTACCAGACCGAAACCTTGCTCTTAAAGGCCGTAAAAGATGAGCGAAAACGGCACCCTTTCTACGAACCGAATAAAATGACCTACTCAAATCTTTCCATGAGCTTAGTTTTTTGTGAGAAACATCCGCATAACAAAACCTGATTTTCGGTAAAATACTCCACCGGGACACTCAAGAAAATAATAATAAAACGAAATTCTCAAATAATTCCTTGTATTAATAATACGAAAATAAGTGAAACTACGTATTCCGTCGTGGGTTAAAAGCGACCCAGTTAAGCCGTTGGGACCACTTGGCAACTTGCCCATGGGCGAAGACTATGATCCGCGCAAATTACGGTCTCGAAGAATATACCACAAATTCATAGTAAAAATCCTTTTCAAGTTCTCAAAAACTGAATTAGGTTTTCTCACTTAAGGATAAACCATTAGGTGAAGTGAGGACTACAAATGGGCGGTTGTTTGACGACGCCTGTGAAATAATGTGTTTCAATTTGTTAAAGTAGATTATTTTGTTTATGTGGATGTTTCTAATCAGTCCAAAGTGTTTTTGATTGATTCTCAACTAGCAGTCACGTGCAGCATTATCACGAAATGCGGATTTCTGTTGATCCTTATTTGCTCGTTGGAGTCATTCTAGAGCAAGTGCTTTTATTTTTTCAAATCTCTTGCTTCCTTTTGATGGGGATCGAAAGTGTTCTCTCTCAAGGTTGTTCATATGATGTCGCATGATCAACTGCGATGAAATCTTATCATTTCATTGTGTTCATTTCAAAGTTTCAGGGATGGCGCAGATGTTGAAGAGGTCATTTTCTGTGAGCGCCACCGCTTTCTCGGGTCTCGTCAAGGCTCCCGCGCAGGTAATAAATCTTCATGATAACCTCCCTAAACCTCTGATAAGAATACCGCCAATTTATTGCGCCCTCCAAGTTTTTAAACCCTCGTGAGATTTCCTTTGAACCTCAACTCAACCCTTATACGTTTCTTCAGTGAGCAGTAGAGGCTTAAATCTTAGAACTTCTCTATATATCCTGATGATCTTCACACTCCAGAAAGTAGGTAAAGCCATTTGAAGTTATCGCCCTTCAATTCCATTATTGTCGTCATGCGCCACTGTAAGGCCGCGTTCATACTTGCGTTCGTGATGAAATGCAGAAATGGGAAAATGCAGAAGTGCGGAATCTGCAGAAAAGCAATAGATACTTATCGACTTGAAGAAATGCAGAAATGCCGAAAGTGAAGAAATGCGGAATCTGCAGAAATGCCGAAAGTGCGGAATGTGCAGAAAAGCAACCGATACGTATCGATTTTCCACACTTTCGGCATTTCTGCATTTCTTCAAATCGATACGTATGTAATGCTTTTCGTCATTTCTGCACTTTCCGCACTTCTGCAGTTTCGGCATTTCTGCATTTCTTCAAGTCGATAAGTATCTATTGCTTTTCTGCAGATTCCGCACTTCTGCATTTTCCGCATTTCTGCATTTCTTCACGAACGCAAGCTATGAACGCGGCCTAATTTTACAGCCACTGGGGTCGTTATATAACTTCAGGAGTTGCCGCTGTGGGTATGGTCTCCTAAAGTTTTGCCCAATTCCCCTTCTCTCTCTATGTCTTTCTCTCTCTCTCTCTTATAACTGGTTTGAATGAATCGGGCATGGCCCATGCACCGCATGCATTTCAGAAGCTGTATTACAGGTTCCAGAAATAGTTGCTGTGTAAGAGCGCGTTCAGACTTCGCGATCGCTGCGATGCGCTCTACTGGGGTGAAATTACACGGGAGGGTCATGCTTCGTTCATGTTGCACTTCAAACTCAACAAACAACAACAACAACAAAGTTCTTGGGAGAAGGGATCGTCTCACGTGCGTTATCTGCCTCAATAGGCCAGTTCCAAAAAACGATATAAAAGTTGTTCGACCTTTTTTGGTGTCTTTTGCTTCATATGCAATATTGCCGTTTGCGAAACCGTCGAAGGAAGGTTGTGATAGACCTGGCAGGATGAGAACAAACACAAGAAACACAATGTGACGAGTAAGTGAAATATCTGGGACTCTCAAAATCGGGGAAGGTAGAGAAAACAACACTCACCTCGTTGAAAGTTCTGCGTGTCTACTTTTGGAACAAGAATGTCAAGTACTTCCGCGTTTAAGTACTCAAGATACAAAATTCAGCTATACTAATAGCAATGTATTATTTATTACTATTTAAAATAGGTCGAAATAATAAATAACTCAAAGATATTTCGAAACGTTCCTTAAAATTAGGAGGGCGTTATGTACACAAAGGAAGAAAGAAGGAAAAGGAAAAAAAAGAACAGGAACAATAAACATGAACGAACATGACCCCCTCCCGGTGTAATTTCACCCACAGTAGCGCGATCGCGCGATCCGAATCGCGCGATCGCGAAGTCTGAACGCGCTCTTAGGGCTGGGTCCATATAGTTACGTCGGGTGGTGATAGTTAGTTGTCGCACCTACGTGTGAGTATATGGGCGTTTTGCTTCAAACTTGCTTTGTTCTAAGAACGCTCAGAGCTCTTGATCGATACCTATAGTTTCCTTTTCGCCCAAAACACTCAAAACGTCGACAAATGTGTAAACGCTGCTCAGAGAGATTAGAGAAAAAGAGAAAGAGTCACATTAAGGTTCATGGTATCGAAGGACGCTATGCATCTGCCCTCTACTCTGCTGCCTATAAACAGAAGAGTCTCGAACAGGTGGACAAGGATCTTCAGAAAATCCGATCCATCTATCAGCAAGATGCCAGCTTTAGAGTGAGTGCTGCTTCGTTCGTTGAAAGCCCGTCTGTCGCTGTGATTTTCCTTTTGAGAGAGTTGCGTTCTCAAATCCCACTCTTCAGCGGGGGACAAAAAAAGAATAGGTTGTTACTTGGAAATCGCCAACAAAGCTCGGCTTATTGGCTAAGGAAATCGACTAACTTTCTCGTACAGTATTATAGCTTCCCTACGTCTCTCTTGCCGTTTCACACGTGCCATTTCTTTTTTCTTTCTGATTTCCGCTGGTCTCGGCGGAATGAAGACATGAAGAGCGCGCGTCAAAGCTGGAACTGCTTTAGCGATTGCTGGGAAACGACGTTCGAACGTGATTCGCGCAAAACCATGCCGCTTGACACGCCCCCCTTTTCACGCCCAGCGAACAAGACTGTAGATTGCGGGTTCTTGTTTCATTATTTTCCAACCTGGACAGTTATTCCTTTCATGAGGTGCTGCTTGCCTGGAGAATGGTGTCTTAGCAAATTGGAAGCCAAGCGTTTCTCCTCGAACAATATAATGGATCTCACAGAAGAGAACTTTTTTTCAGGTCATATTTTTCGAAGTATGCTTCAGTGTTTCTAACGATTGTACTGATTTTCTTCCCCTTTCAATTCAAACTATTCGGTGAGAAAAGTCTCTAAATTCAGAGGGGACCTTGCTTGTTGATTTATTCGTAAGATAAATTCAGTGTGTTTACCACTTTTATCCAGGTGACCTCTGCTGAACCTCTGACCAAGTCTCACGAGTCCGCTCTTAACGATGCGCTTAACAAGGTTAGAGTTCAGCATTACCGGATCGATTGTTGTTTTTCAACTTCAACCATTCTTTCCTTGTGCTGATACCCCTTTTTCAGATGGCAAAATCTGGGCAAAAGTTGAATGTGACCTTACACTATCAAGCCGTCTATTATGGGTGGTCTAGTTGTAACTATAGGAGATAAGTATGTTGACTTGTCGATCGCGTCTCGTGTCAAGAAACTCAAGGAAGTTATTATTGCCTCTGTTTAAGAGTAGTTTTGTAGAAGTTATAAAGTTGTAGAGCGATATGAATACTGTACTTCTCATGTGTCTGCGGGTTTATGTTGTGAAAAGTGTGCCATATAGGTACGTGAATGCACCCAACTATTTGTATAATTGCTTGCAATATCGGGATAGATCTGAGTCAGCTCTGGTGGGGAACTTTGCGACCACGGGAAGCACGACCAGAATTCGCCAAGAGGATTTATGTTATGCCGCGTCGTCCATACTTTGCGAATGTTGGTAAATCTGAATGAATGTGGGCAAAAGGATTAGTTGATGACTGACGTCGCTCTCTAGCAAACACGGAAAATCCGCAGATCTGAAGAGTGCGCGTATTCTAAGGCGAATACTCCGAATAAAATTATTCAGTAACTTTGATAGTTAATCAACTACAGAACGTTCATCTTCGCATGCATTCAAGTGAGTCATCTGTGAATTCTACGAATTCGCAGATTCCCCCCCCCCCCCCCCCCACTTCCCACACTGGCAGATAGTCACGTAATTGTATCTTGCAATGTAGGCTGTGATTGCCATAATAGAAGCCATTGTGTAGTGGAATGTATAGGTAGATCATCAGTATTAAGAATGCTGAATTGGTGATGACTGGATAATTTCCCGTGAGTGAAGTGGTATAAACAAAATAGCGCCTGCGTTTTTTGCTTGTTTCGAGGTGAACAGGACCCTTAAACATGCTAGTTGGACTCTAGCCTGGCGATCTGGTTTCGTTTTTCAGAGAGTGGGCGGAGCTCCTCAGCTGCTGGGAGGGGCAGTTTCGAGCAGTCCAAAAATGGGAATATTTTGAAAAAGGATTAGAGCTCTGCAAAAAGCCGCAAAATAGATGCGGATCAGGGGACGGAGCTTAGTATGTCGGTGTATAAATGCGCGTCTACGAGTACCTTCGTTCTGTGAAGAGTGGGTGTGAAATCAACAAACTTAAAAACATTTTAAAATTCGAAATTTGCTACAAATTCCTTGAGGGCGGGTTGGGCACGTGTCGATGTACAGTCCTTTCCTGTCAGCTGGGTATGATGCGAAACAGCAAAAGAGGTCCATAGCAGTTATGAAACCAATTTGAAAGATCGCGCTGATAAGTAGGCATTGCCGTCGAGCGCGGGCTCATGGTGGTTCAGTGCGGATTGGTTGTCTAGTCTGGAGAGTGGGAGAGCTTGATTTGGAAACTGTTGGATCCCTGCTTCTGGTGTCTTCGGGGGTGTGTCGATAAGACGATTTGCACTGCCACGCAGTCATATCGGCGAGTGCCCCACACAAAATTCTAACAATTCCTACTGCTCACCTTTCTTAAATACGACCTTAAGAGAGGTGTCAAGTATCAAGTTTTCAGAGTTCATCCTCTGATACAACAGGAACAGGTTGATTTTGGTCCGAAAAAGAGATTTCGCTTCGAGAAGCGGTGACTATAGTTCGAAAAGTGGTGAATTTTAAGCGAAAAAATGGTATAGCTCCAGTGGATCACCACTGTGCACCTATGATTAGTGCGTACAACGCAATTGTTGTAACTTGAACAAGAAGGTGCTCGTCAGGACGGACTGTGGCAGGAGCGCGCAGGCCGTCATTACCTTCACATCGTCACATAATCTGCACAGGACAACTCTCATAAATCGCTCATGATCCGTGACGACGCCAATAACCTACTCTGATGAAATTGGTAGGCTTTTGCAATGCAGTTACACATCTCTGCTTGTCTAGACGCATCACAGGTTCGAACAGTCCTCAATCACTTTATTACAAAGAGTGTGTCCAAAGTACTAAATAAGATGCAAACAAGTCCAAATAAGATACAATCAAATATGTGGAAGACTCTTGAAGATCAACAGGAAACAGAACATGAGAAATACAGTAACAGAAAACAGAAATCACACGATCAGTCATATCACCAGTCGGTCACATGCAGCTGATCGACGGACCAATCTTCAAAGAGCGCCAATCTGGGCTAGAATCCGTTCGAACAATGATGCGGATACGGCGATGTTCAGTCTTTGCGAGCAAATTTCCAATGAGCATCTGTTTCTAAAAGAGTAATTACATCTCACTTATTAAATTACACTCGTTATACATAGGCCACAATTTCTATGCTAGTGTAATAACGATTAGTGAATGAAACGCGCATTCTGAAGGAAAAAAGTTTAGCTATGAGATCATTCATTAGTCCCCTCGCAGCTGTCTAAATATTGAGTAATATCATAGTATCGTAATATCAGTATAGTAATATCATCAAATATCTACACTCATCTCCATGGTTTCCATGAACTGCGTGAATGAGATCACAACTGCAGAAGCAGGCCATTTTTTCCACTAGAGAAGAAGCGGAGACATGGGTCTGGAAGATGTAACACCAGAGTGGCTGCGCCCGCGTCTGCTTGCAGCGCGCCTGACTATAGCGTGTAAACGCGTACTTGTCTGCCACCCTCTCACGGTTCTACGTTGTTCCTAGCCTCTTCAGCTGCGTTCACTGCACAAGGTCGACTGGAGATCCGAGCACCACTGAAGGCATAAATTCTCACAGAAGAAGGATACATACACTAACGATGGCGAACCAGCAGATACCGGCATGATATCAGAATTCTGCGGTAATCTGCCAGAAAGGCACAGAGAATTTCGCTCTTACGTTCCAACAGTCGTGCACTCTGCGGAGTCTGCAGATTCGCGGAACACCTTCAGAATTCATTCAGATCGTCCGTATACTTCTTCATCTGACCAAAGTCCCGCACACTGCGCGGAATTTTTTGCATTAGCACAGCCTGACCACACGATCGTTGCGAGGTTTTATTATCGACGTAGGCGCTGTGTCTTGAGAATAGCGCGGTGGAATCGAGGAGACAGCACACGGGCATCATACTCTTCCAGCACCATTTCACAGGGTACAATATTGTTGTAGTGAAACACATCGGGGAGTCGGTACTTGTCGGCTGGCGGCAAGAGGGCGCAGTCGTGATTTGTCGTTGTTGCGAGAAGAGGCAGACGACCGCTATGTGGGCTTTGATAGAAATTGCCGCAGTTGGAATAAACTATTTTCCCTTGTAGAGACTTTTTGCGTTTTCCCGTTTCATGTGTTCCTATTTACCCCCCCCCCCCCCCTTTCTGTCTTCGGAAAATCTGAAAAACTGGAAAATGTGGGGAAATTGGTAGGTAGGAGCGAGCGAAAGAGGGTCGTACCATGGCTCTCCCTCAAGAGGGGGAGGGTCGTACCTACACCATCACCTCACACGTCACGATGCTGTACCCGTAGTTCGCCTTTGTTATTTTGGTTTTTTTTTTTTTTTCGACAAATGACTAAGGTTGGCTAAACAAATAATGGCAGATCTACACCTATTGTAGCGATCTGCCGTCCGCTTTGAAACTGCGTTTTTATCGGAGATACTGATACGGAATATTGAGTATGACTCTTTACACTGGGACGGTACTTTCGTTAAACTCGGAAGAGGAGCATTACCTCCTTCCAATTCCACCATCACCGGTGCACCCATAGCAATCTGAAGAGCACGTGTACCAAGCACTCGAGCACGTTCATATTTGGTCATGAATGGAGTCGTCACACGGTCCGTAGACGCTGTTCCTTTTTCTGCCTGAAAAGTAGCTTCAATCATTCACTCCTGCACCTGCCTTGGGACACCTGATATGAATTCACGCACGATTATCGATTTAACATACAGAGTGTGCTCAACAAAGAACTTACACTTATAATATCAATTCGATGATCGTCCTGTTCATCTTCTCCCTGTTCCAAATCCACGTCTTTCAACATCATCGTCGACAAAATCGTCATTGTCCATATCTTGATAGTCATCATCGTCTGCCATGATGAAACCTGCTTGTGAAACCTTTTGAACAACACCTCAAGCGGAGGGGGAATCGGAGTAATTTCGAGGAAGAGAATCAACCAATATTCAAGGATAAAACCTTCAAATTCCACAATGCAGGCAGAATAATATTTTTTTTTCTCAGACAACAACTTGCTCATAACAATTCTGATTTTCAACAATAGTACATCAACAATACGTAACAAAAAATTATCTTTTCTGTCTAGTCTGCGTCGAGGGCTAATTTTCCAGCAAGAACATCCTCTTTGCTCATCGGTCTTATAGAACGGCCGCCCTATAAAATTCGATTTTATGTCTGCACAAAAGTCTCGTGCCAAGCGTGTACTCATACTAAGGCAACGTTCACAATTCGCCATGACGGGGGTCGACGCGCTGTGACGGTGCCACAGGTGCCGCTGCGCCCCAGGGCTGCAGGCGCGAACGATGCAGCAGGTAGTAATATCGGTGCCGACCGCTCTTGTTGAGAGAGTATGGAGGAACGTTGCACAATCACGCAGTCTGGTATCGCGCTGCAGTTGTCTGGTATCGATCAGAACTGTCCACTGAGCCAGTTCTGATCGATACCAGACAACTGCAGCGCGTCGACGCGCGTCATTACGAAGTCTGAACGCTGCCTAACTGTTTCACAGACGACAGAGACATTAGCTATATACAGTGCAAATCAGAAGACTTTCACTCAGTGACTGAGACATGTGAGCAATATTTACCTGAGTTACGACTGATGGCTTGCACATTTCTTGTACAACTCCTATTGGATTCCAGTCTTTGCCAATGGGTTGTGAGACCATGGTTTCGAAATCCACTACGCTTGTATAGGGGAACGGAAGACTAGTTGGTTGAAGTTTGCTTATGCTCTGAAAACAATAGATTAAACCGATTTAATCAACTTTTGCCGATCAATCACTGCTACACCTAACAACCTTGTAAGTGAAGCTAAAAATTTGTATGTCAGTGCAGAATGCTACATTAGAATGCAATAATATGGAGTATAAAGACAGAACAGTGTTATGAACATTTCCAAAACGTCGTGAAAAGAAACTATTACTTACCTTCTCCTCAACTTCTTTGATTATAACTCCAGGTCGATTTTTATCTTTGCGCTTCTTTTCCCTAGCCTTTATGATAAATTGTTTGCGTCGTTTTCTTTCTGTCATACCGGGACCAACCCAGCATCCCCATCCTTGTAGCGTCAGATCGACGTCCTTTGGTCGCTCGCCTTCCTCCACCTGGAAACCATGTTCATAACAAATGCAGTCTTTTCATGAGCAGCGAATGATGTTTACAGTATATCCGCCCAAATACCACAAGATAAGTCACAAAGACCTATAGAAAACACAAATATCCTCAAAATCAGTAATCGCCAGACGTGGAACATTAAACGCTTCAAGAAAGAGAAAGAAAGATAGAGAAAATTTGCTTTACTCAGTCAGCATATGTTATTACGCCCAGGCTGACAGTTCGTACAATAAATCTGATGTAATCTGGCATCACTTATTTTATTGGAAAATAAATGAATTTATCAATTACCATCATTTTCTCCTCTTCGAAATCACCAATGACATCGTCATCCTTGAATGCTTCAGCGATGACATGAGCTTGATCTAAACTACGACATCAACAAATGAGTATGCTAATTTGGTGAGTATAATGGATAAGGTCATCGCCGTTGATCAATCCCTTGTGGGATGCGGCACGCATTCTACTTTCATTCAGAATCGTAGTGGATCATTGAATGCTATGTGGCTTATACAATGACTTGGGGCGCCCAACCGATGTACAAATCAGCGTATTATCCTCCCAGACGAATCTGGTACCATTATAGGGTCCGTGGTGGGGTAATGCTTGGCTGGACGGGCGTGACCGGGAATTTGAACCCAGGACCGCACCAGTGGTGAGCGTGCCACTTGTCACTACACCACCTCCTGCCCTTGGTGAGTATGTTAGTAGTTAACGATAACAAACAGCGAGCTCTCCGCTTGTGACGAAATGGCGCGTGTTTCTCTTATGACGGTTTTTGATTGCCATGCTCGTTCCATCGACAGTGCTGGGAAAATAGGCTTTCTAGAGATGGCTAAATTATGGGCTGGACCCCTGTTGCCAACGAGGCCGGGTCAAACATTAGGCTTTCTAAAAAGATGAAAAATCGTCGGCAAAGGGGGAAACGATTGAGAACTCAGCAGCAGCAGTACATCGAGTTTTACTGGAGGAGCAGCTGAAGACCGCTAAGTCAGTTACAGACCAGCATGTACTGCTAAAACTGAGAGCACTCAAAGATAAACAGAATTAAATTCAATAACCTTCATCAAATTCATCCATCTTGTCCATAAGCTCGGCTGATACTTTTGATAAATTCGTCGTTTCAACCTTTAATGCAGTATGTTTTGCAGAAAGCACACAACATTAGGACTTTCAGTAATACCTGGAGGAAATTCTTAGGATC